TAATAACATAGAAAACTACTACTCCCATTTTGTTACCATTTAATACACTGTTTATATGCAATTTTAAAGATCACAGTTGGTTATTATTGAAATTTTCAAATGTGCTGCCAGAGATGTCAGCTCCTCTTCACATACATTAAGAAGGATGTTTGTTCACTCTGCTGAAGGAAGGTTCCGCATTACAACAACAGCCTGCAGAGATAAGGAAATCATCCATAAACATTCTACCTTCACTCTTACAAATGAGGAAAATGTACAGTCAGACGGTCATTATTGCAAAATAAACCCAACAAGGTGATCAGGATACATTATCTTACTTGTTACATGACTACTTACTAATAAATAAATAAATAAATGGACATGGAATATTGAGTTGAGTTCAAATGATTTTGTTGGCTTACTTGTAGAAACCAAAGAGAGACAGAACATGAGCACAACTATGTAGGAAACAAAGGTTCCCTGGCATATATTATATTATAAATGAAATGAACGTTTGTTTATTAAATGCACGATATTGTTAATTTCTTTCATTTTTTGTTATTTGAATTTAACATAATTTTCTTTTTCTCCTGCTATACGTAACCCAATCTGAAAAGACCAACAACCCAACCATAGAGCCTTTGGTGGTTTCATTGGAGGAAGGCTGTGTGAAGTGAGATTACCTGAGTCCTGCTGGATCGCAGCGCTGCCCTGGCGAAGAATGACATGGTTACAAGCAGAATGCCTCCTATCAAGCTGTGACAGCTGAACACCAGCTCCATGTCTCTGATGGACATCTGTGAAAATGAAATGAAGATATATTTTGTTTGTATAATCTATTAAAGCTGCACATGCATAATCTCTAATTGGTTGAAAATACACCCTTCTGTCACCCTCATATCTTGATTTATATTCCTCATAATAACCATGTTTTTCATTTAATAATTATAATAAAAACCCTCACATAATGTTGTCTGGCATGAAGTTCCTCCTCCTCTGTGACATTCTCATACATTTGATACCCATGTATGCGATAGATTCCAACAACTGCTTTGGAGAATTCCACCAAAGCAGACAGCACTCCAATGATTGAGATGATATTCAGAGCAAGGCAGGCTGTGATCTGTGAGCAATCAAACCAGAAGACACGAACATAAAAGCAAAATATCACACGCAATTAAACATTCAATGGACATAATTTTGTAGTTAGGGCACAAGAATTCTCAGAATTATGCATGAATATCTCACAAACAGTGAGTGGCTAAACAGTCACTTACTATCTTTTTAGAGGGGTTGCGTTCAGACAGTATATAAAGAAGGCCACAGATAAAGAACTGCAAAAAAGGCAAGACATTTTGTATTCAACTACTGCTAGATACTTATTATGACACACACACACATATTATTGCAGTGATTAATATGTTTCTGGTCCCACTTTATATTAAGTGGCCTTAACTACCATGTACTTACATAAAAAATAAGTACAATGTACTTATTGTGTTCAT